TGTAGGGCTTAAGGTTCAGGGTTCAGGGTTGCGGAACCGCAGCCCCCAAGACCCGAGAACCTGGGAACCCGGCCCCTGCAAACCCAACAAGGCATTCCACGAACACCCAAAGTCCTAAACCCTAAGAGTCCTAAAAATAGAGTTATGAATCCTAAACCCTAAACCCTAAACCCTAAACCCTAAACCCTCAACCCTCAACCCTAAACCCTAAACCCTAAACCCAAACCCCAAACCCTTTCTGTGGTTTTCCTACCGGGGGGTTTTCGGGTGGCCGCGCCATGGAGCCGCAGGCCGGAGCAGCATTGGCCCGAGTCCCTGCAAGGCTCAGGCATCTGGGGGTTTAGGGTTTAGGGTTTGAGAGGGGACTGTTGTGAGGCGGAGTTTTTTTGAATGTGATGCAGTGTTTTGGATGAAGTTGATTTTGTTGCGAGTGCAAAGCAGATGTACGAGGGTTTAGGGTTATAACGCCGACGGTATAAATGCCCTGACCTTAGGTGCATCAGGTTTAGACATTAAAACCTTTAAACCTTATAAGGCTTTTAAAGGTTGAATTAAATTCAGGTTTGGGCATTCAACCTAGGTTAAACCTTAAACCCTATAGTGCAGCACTTCAGGGTTTAAACCCTATACGAGGTTAAAGGTTTAGAGTTTAAGGTTTAGGGCATTGCAAAAACGTAACCCTCAGGGATTTAATCACTTTACTGTTTTCCTTAAGCCTGAAAGCATATAGTGTTTGGGTTTAGGGTTATAACGCTAAACTCTATAGGATAAGAACCTTATAACCCTATATGGGGTTGTACAAAAACCCCGAGTTAAATCTATTCATCCTACAAGCTTAGTACTGGAACCGACGTTCCCGTGAGCCGGTTGGGTTTTCGTTGATTTGTAGTACAAGCTTAGTACTGGAACCGACGTTCCCGTGAGCCGATTGGGTTTTCGTTGATTTGTAGTACAAGCTTAGTACTGGAACGGACGTGCCATTGAGCAGGCTGGGTTTTCATTGATTTGTTGTACAAGCTTAGTACTGAAACCGGCTAGGTTTCCGTTGATTTGTAGTGCAAGCTGAGCAGGCTGGGTTTTCAATGTTTTCATGTATTTGTAGTACAAGCTTATCACTGGAATAGCGCCTGCCCGCCCTGTTACTACAAAGTTATCGGTTTATTTTCTTGATTATCGTTTTACGAGTCAGAAGCACGGCCCAAACGCTTCGGGCAATTCCTTTCAAAATCGACTGCGCGGGGTTTTGATACAACCCCATATTATAGGCCTTGAGACTTAAATCCTACTGTTTACCTTAAGCTTTAGAGCAGATAGGGTTTAGGGTTATAACGCTGAAGGTATAAATGCCCACACCTTAGGTACATCAGGTTTAGGCATTAAAACATTTAAGCCCTATAAGGTTGTTAAAGGTTTAACCCTATAGGATTTAAACCCTGTAAGAGGTTAAAGGTTTAGAGTTTAAGGTTTAGGGCATTGCAAAAACGTAACCTTAGACCCTCAGGGATTTAATCATTTTACTGTTTTCCTTAAGCCTTAATTAAAACATATAGGCTTTAGGGTTATAACGCTAAACTCTATAGGATTAGAACCTTATAAGCTTATATTATAGGCCTTGAGGCTTAAATCCTACTGTTTTCCTTAAGCCTTACAGCATAAAGGGTTTAGGGTTCTAATGCTGAATGTATAAATGCCCAGACCTTAAATACATCAGGTTTAGGCATTAAAGCATAAGGTTTTCAGAGGTTTAAGGCCTGGGGATTTAAATTTAAGTTGGGGCATTCAAACGAGGTTAAGCCTTAAACCCTATAGGGCCCCTTTCGGGTCAGGGTTTATCTACCCTACCGGGTTAGCCCTTTAGGGTTTAAACCCTATAAGAGGTTAAAGGTTTAGAGTTTAAGGTTTAGGGCATTGCACAAACGTAACCCTAGTCCCTCAGTGATTTAACCACTTTACTGTTTTCCTTAAGCCTTAAAGCATATAGGGTTTAGGGTCATAACGCTAAACTCTATAGGATTTTTAACCTTATAACCCTACATTATTAGCACCCACATCATCAAGACATGTCCTGTAGGCCCCGGGGACGCGAGAATACTATGAGCAGATATCCTTTTACTCGCACATGTGACATCGCAACCTTCAGATATAGCGCTGGAACCAAGGTGAGATTGGATATCGTTTTGTGAAGCAGTTGTGGCTGTGACATCCATGTTTCGAAACAAAGGCTGTGTTTCGAAAGCAGGGAACTTCCGAATAACAGGTCTGGAAATACGTGAAAGCAAACCAACTGTGGCACAGCTACGGCTGTTACGCTTGAGGGGGGGGGGGGTGGGACTCCTGCCAAGATGGGCCAACTTCCAAGGACCCCCCCCCCCCCCCCCCCCCCCCCCCCCCCCCAAATCATGTATGCCAAACATCATGGTCAAGATTCCCACTTATGAATGGGTTTAGGGTTTAGGGTTTAGGGTTTAGGGTTTAGGGTTTAGGGTTTAGGGTTTAGGGTTTAGGGTTTAGGGTCTTGGGGGGGATTTAGGGGGGTTTTGGGGGTTTAGGGTTTAGGGTTTGGGGTTTGGGCTTGGGGTTTTAGGGGTTTGGGGTTGGGGTTTTAGGGGTTTGGGGTTTTGGGGGGGATTTAGGGGGTTTTGGGTTCAGGGGTTTGTGGGTTTAGGGTTTAGGGTTTGGGATTTGGGGAGCTTCGGTTACTTTGGGGATTTGCGGGGAGGGGGGGGGGGGGGGGGGGGTGTTTAGGGGTTTAGGGGTTAAGGCTTGGGGTGTTTAGGGCTTAGGGGTTTTGGGGGTTAGGGTAGGGGGCCAGGGTGTTTAGGGTCTTGGGTGTAGGGTTCAGGATTTTGGGGTTTAGGTTTTAGTGTTAGAGCTTGGTTTAGGGTCGAAATCGGGTTTAGGGTTTATGGATTCGGGCTTAGGAAGAATCTTCGCTCTTCTAGCATCCTGTTGATGGGGTCATCTTCGGGTAGCGTAAGACAGTACGTTGACGGGGGTGGTGTGAGTTCCTCTCGATATATGGGCATTTTCCAAAATAGGGGTACCCCTTCTATACACCAAATAGAATAGAATCCCATATGAAGTAGGGTATATATTTCTTGTCCCCCTGGAGTCTCCGAAGAGCTGTCCGAGCAAGAAGCGAAAAACTAAAGCACACCACGAAGCCGCTCCAAGTCCTTCACGAGCAACAAGAGGACCGAGCGCACTTCATTAACACGTGAAACGAGAGCATGCGGAACACATTGTCTCCGATGAAAGTTGATGAGAAACTTTGAAAAGTTTGGACATCTCAAGTGGCACGCTATACAGAAACCGTCCCGAGCAGTGACATCAAAAGGGAGAACAAAGTGCTTGCCCTTTTGCCAATGATCAATGAGACATTTCCACCTAGAAAGAACAGCTTTCCACCATTTGGAAAAAGCAGAAGGGGATCGACAATTATCCTTGCATAATTGAACGACACCATCATAAGTGAGATTCGTAACCGAATTCACAAGAGACTCAACAATGGCCTCCAGCTTAGGCAGGCCAGAGTCATCCAAAGTGACAGAAACATCAGCAAACTGCAGCCTGTGAAATGACAGCTCAGCCAACGACAAAAGTCGAAGGCAACGAAGACGAATGGCAGCGAGGATCGCAGAGTCAGATGGGCCAGGACAGGCAGCAGTAGAACTTTTGGCCTGACATTGACTCCTATCACGGTCGCAGAAAGCACAGCGCCAAACGTCATCAAAAGAAGAAGTAGAAAGCAAGTGGCCAGAAGAATAGGCATCAATACGCTGCAAAAAATCACGCCAGGTGTGGAGCAACGCACAAGCAGTACGAAGAGGACGGCGACCACCAAATGCCTCACGGAGAAGAGGGAGCGGAACGGAAGGAATCACCTCCAAATCAAACTGCCCCAGGCCACCACATTCTTTAACAAGAATTTTCCCGTTCACTTGTTTCGTGCCTTTGGCAACAGCAAACACAGTAGGAGCGACCGAGATCCATGGTGCAACAGTAGCCTTGCCATGGATGCGAGAGCGAAAGTTGATGAACAATTCACTCTGCCGAGAAATCGCGGTAGCCTTAGGAAGCTGAATATCAGACATGTTGACCCCAAGAACACAGTATTGAGAAGGATTCGCATTGCGATGATCCAAATACAGATTGCAGACTTGCGTGAAGATGTCACAGGAAAGGCCAGGAGGAGCACCAGCCGGACAGACCTTATCAGGAGGAAGGGCAGCAATGTGCCGGACAAGCTCAGAGAGAGACCACAACGCTCCCAGAGAGCAAAACTTTGAGTGCGAAAACGCCAACAAGCTTGAGCAAAACTACAGCCTTGATCATAAGTGGACGGAAGGTATTTAGAACCCATCAGTTCAAGATATAAGCAAAAAGCATAAGTCCAAGTGCAGGAAGTACTGCCACGACCAGGCAGCGGAGACCAGACACTCCAAAAGAGAAACATTTCAGCAAACTGCTGAAGGTTACCTTGCCATTTCTGCCAATCAGTGCGTCTAGTGAAGGGAGCCCACTTGAGACGCAGCACAGACGTGAGAGTTGGAGTGACACAAGTGGGAAACACCGTGCCGGTATCAATGTCGCAGATAGGCGGAGGCTCTTCAGCATGAAGGATGTCTTTACTGTTAGGGTTGCCGTTTCTTTGGCGCTCAAGAGCCATCCAAAAGGACAAGAGCTCACAAATCCAAGCCTGAAATTGAGGCCACATCTGTCTCACATGAACGGGCATATCAAGAGTGCAAACCCCACGCTTAACGCGCACTGCTTCCAGTTTGACATGTCATGGTCACGTAAGGGGTTGCGTGTGCGAAAAGAAGCAAATCTCTTGCAAGAAAAGAGAAGGTGCGGGATATCGCAACACTCAGCCTTACAATACGGACACTCAGGAGATGTGGCTTTGCCCATACGCCAAACACGATATGGGGTACTGTGACCATTGCAAAGCAGACGTTCCAAAACATAATAAAGCGGATGCGACGTATCCCATTGCTTCACGAGCTTGCAGGTAGCGACGAGATCAGCGTGATTAGAGCCGAGCCAAGTATCACCAGCAAGAAGACCGCAGAGTCTGCGCCGCAACTGCATACGAAGCAAATGACCAAGCAGCTCTTTGTTTGCAGCACCAGGAGTCCAAACCACTTTACCCTGCGCATCAACCACAACACCACGAGGATCAAAAGACCATCCGATAGCTTGAAGATCATCATGAAAAAGCTTAGCAGGGCCATTGGCAAACCCCCCTTGAGCACAAGCATGAAGAAAATGAGCACCATCTTCCCCAGAAAAAAGTTTTTCCCACTGTTGCAAAGAGGCATAAACGCAAGCAGACATGGGATCAAATCTGTGACAAGGAAGAACAAACGCCAGGGCAGCATGGTGCGAAGCCAGCGGGGAGCTCAAGCAGAGGCTGACGATGCGACCGCGTAAACGATCAGCATCATTAGCAACAAGGCGAGAGACCATGGCCACGTAAGTGAACTTAGGCATGACAACGGCAGAACACAGGTAACGCCTCACCTTAGCAACGATGTTGTTACCAGCACGCGAAAGAGACTCAAGGATGCGAAAGCAATCTTCAAGAATAGGAGCGAAAAAGGCAACCCGCGAGCAGTTCTTCGTGGGAAGAGGAACGCCCAGATAAATAGGAGCCTCATTGCTGGCAACCTTCTCACCGTTATTCCAGGAAACAGAAAAAGAAGTACCAATTTGAAACTGGTAAGTTTTGGGCACAATATGGAAACCCCAAGAACTGTCCCATTCAACCGTGCGCTCAAAGATATTTTGGAAAAAACGAAGCTCCTCGCAGGAACGAACCATGGCACAAAGTAGTCTGTCATCGACATATACCCATGCCTCGCACGGCATGGGCGCAGGAATGCTAAAAACAATATCCAGCCATTGACTGAGACAAGCCGCGGCCGCGAGCATAGATATAGGGTCGCCTTGCGGCACACCGTTAGTACATGTGATCGGCACATCAAAAAGGCTATCGTGAAGAGAAACATATCGCTTAATTTGGGTACTGTAATTAACCCAAACAATAAGAACAGGCCTAGGGAAACCAATGTCCTGCAAACCCTTAATTGCCAGCGCAAAAGGGATAGAGTCAAAAAACTTTTGGGTGTCAATACCCAAGCCAATGCCGGCAGATTTTTCGGAACGAGTCTTTTCAACAAAAAGCGCCACCCTCATAAAAGCAACCGTAGCGGAACGGGCAGGAACCCCGCCTACGGAATGCTTGTTGATGCGGGCACTACACCCACAGGACATGCGAAGCATAGTTTTGGCAAAGAACCTATACGCAACAGGAGCAATGCTGAGAGGGCGCAAATCTTTAATATTCAGGCAACCAACTTTTGTAACCTTATATACACTCACCAAAAAAAGAAATATAAACCCTGCTTCATATGTGTGTTGAGAGCTTGAGGACGTGTCGTTATGCTGCTGTCGGGCGCCTTAGGATAAGGCCCCCGGCCGAAGCCTGCATTCCCAGGGGCAGAAGCCAGCCCATTCAACACCCAACAAGAGCACTGAAGGGTAACAGCAGAAAGCCCCTAAACCCTAAACCCTAAACCCTAAAGCTGCAGAGGAGTACCTGAGGCCCACACCTACACCCCCTGCGGGACGAACCCTCAGCAACCAATGGACCGACTCCACCCGCCATGAGCCCCGAAGCACGGGTTTAGGGTTTAGGGTTTAGGGTTTAGGGTTTAGGGTTTAGGGTTTAGGGTTTAGGGTTCAGAGATGTTTAGAGCTTAGGGTTTAGGGTTTAGGGTTTAGGGTTTAGGGTTTAGGGTTTAGGGTTTAGGGTTTAGGGTTTAGGGTTTCGGGTTTAGGGACTTGCACCGAGACATGCTGTATCTTGGCAGAGGCTGTGTGCCAATCCGTGGCAACTTGCTTAAGGCGTGCCAAGGTTTGGGGACGCTTCCCTGCAGCTGCAGCCTTTGTCATAGTTTAATGCTTAGGGGTTGAGGATGAAGGTTTAGGGTTTAGGTTTTAGGGTTTAGGATGTAGGGGTTAGGGTTAAGGTTACAGGGTTCAGGATTTAGGGTCTAGGATGTAGGGTTTAGGATTAAGGTTACAGGGTTGAAGGTTTAAGGTTCAGGGTTTGGGAATTTTATCCAAAGGCCTGAGCCGCAACTAGCCTGTAAACCCGTAAACTCTCCACTCCAATCTTAAGCGCCGGGTACCGTCTTTTGGTTGAAAGGGGCTTGTAAGGGAACCTAAACCCTAACGACGATAATCAGGGCCTACCTACTCTGGGTCATAGCCCTAAACCCTAAACCCTAAACCCTACAAACCGCAAAAAAAGGCAATAAGTCCCAGCGTATGCACTGCGTACCAGGGGTGGGGCGGAGCCTGTCCACGTTTCCCCGCTGAAGGAAGAGCTTGGTCTGGGTGCAGTTTCCTCAGACAGGGTCTGGGGCTTTAAGGCTTAGGGCGTATGGTTTCGGGTTTGGGGCTTTAAGGCTTAGGGTTTTGGGTTTAAGGGGTTACGAACCCTATGCTCCAAACCAGAGGACCCTGAAAAAACCTCTGGACCCTCAACTCTGAACTCCCGGTTTTGACCTCTGCAGCCCCTGAGGATCCTGAACCCTGAAGCCCCTGAATGCCTTCTTCATCACCTTAGGGTTTCGGGTTTAGGATTTAGGGTTTGGGGTTTAGGGTTTAGGGTTTAGGGTTTAGGGTTTAGGGTTTAGGGTTTAGGGTTTAGGGTTTGGGGTTTGGGGTTTGGGGTTTGGGGTTTGGGGTTTGGGGTTTGGGGTTTGGGGTTTGGGGTTTGGGGTATGGGGTTTGGGGTTTGGGGTTTGGGGTTTGGGGTTTGGGGTTTGGGGTTTGGGGTTTGGGGTTTGGGGTTTGGGGTTTGGGGTTTGGGGTTTAGGGCAAATCTCCATGGACCCCTCACGATGGTGATAGTGATGATGAAAAATCTGCCTCTAGACTCTCTGCACCCAACTCTACCCTAAAGACCCAACCAAACCAAACCGTCATAGTTCGCCAGCGGCCCAAAACAATAAGAGAGTTGGCCCGCTCCTGCTTCGCGGCATTTGTACAGTGAACCTAAGCCCCAACAAGAAGGAATTTGCTTACTACTGGGCACCACGTCTTGAGACCACAAACGTGGGCCTGCCAAAGGAGCCAAGACACTGAACAAAGGGTTTTAGGCTTTAGGGGAATAAGGGTTTTGGGGACCTAAAACCCTAAACCCTAAACCCTAAACCCTAAACCCTAAACCCTAAACCCTAAACCCTAAACCCTAAACCGGCTTGAGGGGAACATAAGGGTACCCGCCTCAGAACCGAAACTCCCGGAACCGCCGAGGGTCCCAGGCGGTTGCGCCCCAAGCAGAGCTCCGAACGCACCTTTTCACACAGGCGTTCTTCTTTTTTAATCTGGGTTTAGGGTTTAGGGTTTAGAGTTTAGGGTTTGGGGTTTGGGGTTTCAGGGTTTCAGGGTTTCAGGGTTTCAGGGTTTCAGGGTTTCAGGGTTTCAGGGTTTCAGGGTTTCAGGGTTTCAGGGTTTCAGGGTTTCAGGGGGTTTCAGGGTTTCAGGGTTTCAGGGTTTCAGGGTTTCAGGGTTTCAGGGTTTCAGGGTTTCAGGGTTTCAGGGTTTCAGGGTTTCAGGGTTTCAGGGTTTCAGGGTTTCAGGGTTTCAGGGTTTCAGGGTTTCAGGGTTTCAGGGTTTCAGGGTTTCAGGGTTTCAGGGTTTCAGGGTTTCAGGGTTTCAGGGTTTAGGGTTGGGAGGGGGATCAAGAATATTGTGTACAGCTTAGTGTCTTAGTGCTGAGCAGACTTTTCGGTTTAGGACTTGGGGTTCGTGCTTTTTGGACCACCCCCTCGCCCTAAACCCTAAATGCTGAACCAATCTGAGGCGATCCCCCCCATCTCGGCTTCTTGGGAGCTTGGGCTTAATGTTTAGGGTTTTGGGAGCTAAGGGGTTTTAAGGTTAGAGTGTAGGTTTGAGGTTGGGCCAAAACATTTTTGAGCACTCTGCAGGGGCTTTTGATCTCGGCGTTGGGACTTTGGGCGCACTTTCTTCCCTCGCCTCTTGCAGCCGGAAGTACTCCCGGGCAAGCACGCCGCCTTGCAGCTGCATCCGGGTTTGAGGTTTCGAGTTTAGGCTGCACAGTGTTCAAAAACGCCTAACCCTAAACTCTATACTGCGGCGGGCTTGGATGTTTTGTAGGTTCTTCAGGGTTATCTGGACTTCAACTCCGCCTTGTCACAGCGGAGGTGCAGGATTCAGGGAACATACGGTTGTGGGGCAAGGAATGGAAAGAACTTAGAGCTTTTTCGCGGGCCCCGGACCTACTCTTTTGCGAGTTAGAACTTACCTGACGGGTTAGGACTTAGGGTTCAACTGTATGGTCACAACGGCTCTGAAGAAACCCAAGCATGACCAACGACAAGAGCTTCGGGCCCCTTGCAGCCTACACCATGTGGCACCCCATGCCTAAAAAAACAAGCAGCACTCCTCGTACCCTGAACCCAAAACCCATGCTTACATGGTCAGTACTCTGAATTAGGGTCTTAGTTGGGCTTCTATATGGGGGCTTACGAAAATAGGGGTGCCCATTTGTGGGGTCCTTATGATAAGGGGATTCCTTCTATTTGGGGTTCTACTTTAGGCCCAAAGAGTAAGACTCCCTTAAAATAGGAACCCCAAAAAAAGGCCCCCCCCCCCCCCCCCCCCCCCCCCCCATTTTCGGAAACCATGCAGGGCCGCACATTATGGCAGGGACCCTGAAACCCTAAAACCCTAACACCCTAAAACCCTAAACCCTGAACCCTAAACCCTCAACCCTAAACCCTGAACCCTAAACCCTAAACCCTAAACCCCAAACCCTAAACCCTAAACCCTAAACCCCAAAACGGGGCCTTCAATGTAGAGCTTGCGGAAGCGGTACAAGAAATAGCTGAAGGGCCTCGGCCGAGCTCTCTCTCTCTCTCTCTCTCTCTCTCTCTCTCTCCTGTAACCCTAAACCCTAAACCCTAAACCCTAAACCCTAAGCCCCAAACCCTAAACCCTAAACCCTAAAACCTAAACCCCAAACCCTAAACCCCAAACCCTAAACCCTAGCCCTAAACCCCAAACCCCAAACCCCAAACCCCAAACCCCAAACCCTAAACCCTAAACCCTAAAGGCATTTGGCCGACGCCCAGTGATGCGGCGTGACGGCCACGGCATTCGACGCCCTGAGCCCTAAGCATCTCCGCGGCTTCCGACACCAATTCGGGGAAGGCCTAGGGTTTAGGGTTTAGGGTTTCGGGTTTAGGGTATAGGGTATAGGGTAGATGGATGCAGGAAATGCTCTAGCGAGGGTGCGGTTGAAGCTGAAGACGGAATTTAGACAATGTAGCTCATGCTATGCTAC